GCCGCTCGGGCCTCCTCAGGCCCCCGCCGCCGCCGTCGCCCCCTCTCCGGCCCGCGAGCTCCCCTCCCTCCTCCCGCACCGGCCGCCGCCGCCGCCGCCGCCGCCGCCGCCGCCGCCGCCGTCGCGCTGCGTCACCGCGCCGTGCGTCACCGCCCCTGGCCCCGCCCCGCCGGGGCCGCTGCGCGCCGGCATTAGCTCACGCCGCGGTGACGAACGGCGCGCCCGCCAACGGGCGGCGAGGGCAGCCCGAAGGGCGGGAGGTGTGCGCGGAGAAAGGCGGGGTACTGGCGGAGAGGGGAGCGCTGGGGGTTGAGCGAGGCCCAAGAGGCCCGCCCTCCACGCGCTGGGATTGGTTGGCCGCGGGGCTGACGGGCAGTCGGCCCCTCCGGGACCTGGGGGCGGGCGGGCGGGGCGCGAGGGGCGTTGCCATGGGCGACGGGCGCTGCGCAGCCGGGGATTGGGCCTCCCCGCCCGCAGGGGGCAGTCTCGCGCGCGTCTACCTCAGCGGCGGTAAGCTAGGTCACAATTCCCGAATCTGGTGTTCAAGGCCTGCCTCCCCGCCCCTCTTGCACCGTCCGCCTAAGGCCTGGGCCCGAGTGGGCCCGAGCGGCCAGGTTACAGTTTGGCGCTCAGGCTTCTGGAGTCTCAGCTCTATCACCGCAACTGTGTCTGAACCTGCTGCTTCGTGTCCCAAGTGGGAATAGGATTGAAAGAGACGATGCGTAGAAAGCGCTTGGCACAATGGAGGCCGTCAACAAATGGGAGTTGTTGCTTTGACTATTATAATCTGTTCATTCCACAAACTTTCCTGGATCTGGTGACTAAGCGGAGCGGGGGCCCTCACCCAGAAGGTGACCGAGACATGGCGTCTTAGAGGAACTCAAAGAAAATACAGTCGGGGTGGACGGAGTGTATTGTTCCGGGCAAGGAGTGGTGGGAAATGAGCTGTGGCCAGATGTTTGGCCACTTGAGGGAGTTTGGGCTTGTCTTGAGGACGCTAGGGAGCCATGGAAGGGCTTCAAGTCAGGGAGAGTCATGGTGAGTTGGGGACTCGGAAAGATGGCTCTGGCTTTCATATGGAGCGTGGATTGGAGGGAATAAAACTGGGGGCCTTCAGTAAAGGGAGGCAGTTGGGGTGGAACAGGGACGTTTGCACTGGGGAGGGACTGTGGGAAAGGGAGGGGGTGTGGGCGGGAGAGACGCCCAGGAAGCCTAGTGAACCTGTCTTGGGACTGGCTGGCTGCAGAGCCCGAGAGAGGTTGAAATCCTAGACAAGGCCTTTGGGTGGGGGGTTAGGGGTTGGTGGTTTCTCCCTGAAAAGGAGACCCAGAGGAGAAGCAAGTTTGGAAGATGCTGAGTCCAGTGTGGGCTACCCAGCAGTGGGGCGAGGCGGGGGCGGGGTGGGGGTGGGGGAGCGGGCGGGCAGGAGGCTGCACAGCGACGTGTCTGGAGCTTAAGAGAACTTGGGGCCGGAAACCAAGATTTGAGGTTCATCAAAGATGGTAATTGAAGCTGTGGGTGATCTAGCCTTGGAGGATACGAAGGATGAATGGAGACAAGGACTCAACAGAACCCTAAGAAAGGAGGACACCTAAGGTTTGAGCAAAGGGATGGGCATCTGTCCAAGATTGAGAAGGGACAGCCAGACAGAGAGGAAAATGCAGTGAGGAAAGTTCATTTCAAGCCAGGCTGGCAGAGGGTATCAAATCCCATCCATTACCTCCTCTGTTTAAGCAAAAACCTTTGCGACATGTAGAGTAGTTCAATAGATACCATTTCATTTATTCACTCAGTGATACTCAAGTACCTAACATGTGTCAGGGGCTTCAAGGTTCACTAGAAACTTGTTTCTAGAAATTCAACAATGGAACAAAGCTTACATTCATGCCTGAAGCTTACATTCTGGTTGAGGGGACACAATAAATAGATCTTATTTATTTATTTTGACAGAGAGAGAGAGATCACAAGTAGCAGAGAGGCAGGCAGAGAGAGAGGGGGGAAGCAGGCTCCCCGCTGAGCAGAGAGCCCATGTGGGGCTCGATCCCAGGACCCTGAGATCATGACCTGAGCCGAAGACAGAGGCTTAACCCACTGAGCCACGCAGGTGCCTCTAGGGGACACAATAAATAAATAAATATAATGTGACTTGGTGATAAGTACTACAGGGAAAAATAAAGCAAGTTGAGGGGATGGAGTGATGAGGTCAGCACTGTTTTAGCTGGGGGAAAGGTGTGATCAGGTGAGGTTTGAGCAGAAATCTGAAGAAAGGAAGGGGTAAACCATAAGGGAAAGAAGGTTCCTAAAAGAGGGAACAGCAAGTGCAAAGGCCCAGTGGCAGGCTTATTCACAGAACCACAAAGAGGATAATGTGGCTGCAATGGAGTGACCAAAGAGGGGAGGGTAGGAGAAGACAAGGTCCAGGTGGTAATGGAGGAGGGGTGGTGGCAGATAAAGGCCACTGTAAGGACTCTAGCTTTTACAACTAGCTTTTACCCAAATAACATGGAAGCTGTAGGAGGGTTTGAGAGAGGAAGTATGTCATCTGCCTTGGGTTTTATTAGGATCCCTATGGCAGTCCTGTGAAAAATAGAGTGTGTGGGGGGGCACAAGGGGACAGTGAGGAGGTTGCTGCAAGAGTTCAGGCAGGAGATGAAGGTTTGGGGGACCAGGGTATGGGCCGTGCATGGAGGGGGTGATGGGCAGGTTCTGGTTACATATCCAAGTTCAGAACTGACAATTCTGATGTACGATGAGAGGAATGAGACAGGTTAAGGATGACTGAGACATCCATGTGGAGATAATCAGCTTAGCAGCTGGATGTAGGAGTCTATCTAGAATCCACAGAGAAACCTAGGCTGGAGAAATAATTGGGGTATGCCCTTTGAAAGCCAAGAGACTAGATGAGATCAGGAGAGGACGGTAGGTGGAAAAGAGAAGGAGACGAAGGACTGAGCCCTGGAACACCCCACTGTTAAAAGGAAGAATCAGCAGGAGGCTGGGAAGGAGCACAGCCAGAACATGTGGAGGAAACCCAGGTCAGGGTGTTGTCCTGAAAGCCAAGTGAAGAAAGTGTTTCTTCAGGGCACAGAGAGGGATGGACCGTGACACATGCAGCTGACAGGGCACAACAGACGAAGATTGAGAATTGACCAGTAGGTCCAACACCGTAGAGTCATTGGTGGCCTGGACAAGGCTACGTCAGGGGATGGGGACAGGAGTCACAATCTGCTGGGAGAGAGTTGAAGAGAATCAGGAGGAGACATTGGAGGCAGCAAGTGTAGATGATTCTTTAGAGAAGTTTTGCTGAAAAGGGAAGGAAATGAATGGGCAATGCTGGACGGAAGATAGGGTTCTTCGTTTGTAAGAAGGAAAAGGAAGACAATCCAGGGCGCCTGGGTGGCTCAGTTGGTTGAGCGACTGCCTTCAGCTCAGGTCATGATCCGTGAGTCCCAGGATCAAGTCCCACATCGGGCTCCCAGCTCCCTGGGGAGTCTGCTTCTCCCTCTGACCTTCTCCCCTCTCATGCGCGCGCGCTCTCTCTCTCTGTGTCTCTCAAATAAATAAATAAAATCTAAAAAAAAATTAAAAAAAAAGAAGGAAGACAACCCCACATGTGGACTGAAAGGAAAGATCTAGTAGGGATGGGAACATTGATGATGCAGGGAAAGGGAGAATAGCTCCAGTGACGCCTGTCAGTTGGGGGGGGTGGATTGGGGTCGGAGTCCGGTGCCTGTGGAGGGATTCAGGAAGGTGAGGGGTGGGGGTGGAGGGAAGCCCAGCCAATATGGCGGGCCAGCCACTGGGGAGCAGGAACCTGTGAAGAGTCCTTTTTTTTTTTTTTTTTTCCAAAGATTTTATTTATTTGACAGAGATCACAAGTAGGCAGAGAGGCAGGCGCGGGGGCGGGGGGGAGGTAGGCTCCCCGCTGAGCAGAGAGCCAGATGTGGGGCTCAATCCCAGGACCCTGAGATCATGACCTGAGCTGAAGGCAGAGGCTTTAACCCACTGAGCCACCCAGCCACCCACTCTCCACCCTAGTGAAGAGTCTCTTGTTGGCTTTTATTTTCTCACTGAAATACAGGGAATTTTCCCATAAATTACTTCCCTTTTATTTCTCCTTTATATGACAGGACACTGTATTGATTTTGTGGGCAGGGGTTTGTGGTATAAGTAGGTTACGTTATCTAGGACTTTGATTTCATGGCGGGAAAGGGGGCAACACAAAATGCACTTAATAAAAAAGGGGGTACTGGTCTGACACAATTGGACACCATTGTTGTAGGGCCCATTATTAGGCCCCTGAGGCTGAATAAGTGCAGGAAAAAAATCCAGCATTACCTGGAATAGTGGAGTGGGGTCTCCACGGGATAATGTGGAATCTCGATATCCCCATCAACACGGTGGGTGGCAGTTTGGCTAGCAAACATCCCTAAGTTCCCCTTTTCTACTCTGGAATTAAAACATTCCAGAGTGGGGATGATCCAGGAGAACTTCCTGGAGGAGGGGAGGAGCTAAAAGAGTCTCTCTCTCTTTTTTTAAAATTTTTATTTATTTGACAGAGATCACAAGTAGGCAGAGAGGCAGGCAGAGAGAGGAGGAAGTAGGCCCCCTGCCGAGCAGAGAGCCCGTTGCGGCTGATCCCAGGACCCTGAGATCATGACCCGAGCCAAGGGCAGAGGCCCTAACCCACTGAGCCACAGAGGCGCCCCAGAGCTCTGATCTACAGTGTATTGAGCATGTCCACCATGCCAGGAGGTATGTAAGGCTGTTTTATCCCTACAGGAATCCTGAATCAGAGGGATGAAGCTACCTAGGTAGGATCACACAGCAAGGCAGCATTTGAATCCAGGTCTGGGTGATTGCAAAGCCTGGGAGGTCCTGGCAGATGAGGGGAAGGAAGGAAGGGGAGGAGCCCTCTGAGACAGTTGTCCCAGAATGGGCATAAACAGGATGTGGTGTTGGATGAAACCTTTCCCCTGCCCCACACCCCGCCCCCTGCAGCCCTGGTCCCCAACTCTAGAAGACAGCGGAACTGAGAAAAGAAGAGGCCTGTGGACAGAAAAGTCATGGTTAGGGGGCTGAGGGGTGTATGGGAAGGGCTGGGGGCGGGGGTGGGGTCGGGGTTGGGAGATTGCCTGGGTGAAGGTCAGCCTGGGGGCTAGTCAGGGGCTGGGAGGGTGACCCCATTGCAGCAAAGGGCCTGGCTGAGGGAAGAGAGATGCTGGCTCCAGGTTTAGCCCCCGAGCAAGCAGATCCTCAAGTGTTCCCTGAGGGCACCTGCCTAGAGGGCTGGAGCCCAGCCTCTGCCCTGCTCCCCAAATGCGTGCACTGGTAAGGGGCGGCACCTTCCACCCTGCAGAAAGCACCTTTTCCCTAATTGTACCCGGGGCGTCCTATGGGCCATCAGGCCCACCTCTTCATTAGTAGTTGGAGAAACTGAGGTTGAGGGAAGGTGATGGGGTGGGGTGGGGGCTTACGCTCTCTTAAGCTCTTCCTGGGCTTCTCTGGCAGTCGAATTCCCTGGTGGTGTGCGAGGTGGACCCTGAACTAAAGGAAAAGCTGAGAAAATTTCGCTTCAGAAAAGAGACAGACAATGCAGCCATAATCAGTGAGTGTCATCTCCTCCCCTGGAAGGTTGGCGGAGGGGGTGGGGACAAACAAGGAAGTCTGGCTAGTGTCCCTACTGGATGGAAGGGGCGACTAACCCCCATATGCCATCCCTCCCCAGTGAAGGTGGACAAGGACCGGCAGATGGTCGTACTCGAGGGAGAATTTCAGGTGAGGGTCTGGGATGGATGGGGCCACCGAGAAGGGCAGGGTGGGACTGGGAGAACCAGGGGGCTGGAGCTGATGCTAAGAGCCTGACTTTGGGGGCTAGACAGGACTGGAGGTCAAATCCCAGCTCAGTTGTGACTCGAGGCAAGAGACTTCACCTATATGGGTCTCTGTTTTCTCATCTGTGAAATGGGGATACCTGTACCTACCTCTTAGGGTCTATGATTTCGTGCTTTAATCCTTGTCATGGGCTTAGAAGTGGGTCCCGCACATAGAATATACTCAATAAAATAATGATGGTGATGACAATGATGATGATATTTTATTGGCGTGTAAATGAAAGTTTCCAGATACATCAACAAAAAGCTAGTGGAAATCCTGCATAAAAGGATAGACCTCCCTCTTTCTTGCCTCGCTGTCTTTATCAGTCACACAGGGATGCTAATAAGGCTTACTTCATAGTGTTGTGGTAAGGATTTGAGGGGGTGGCCCATGGAGGCTGAGGCTGGAGGCTGGGGCTGTTTGACGGGGTGGTGGTGGGAGGATCGACTAGGAGCTGGGCCCTCTCAGGTCCTCTGAAAGACAGTGTAGCAAAATGGTTACGATTTGAACCCAGATTCAAATCTGAATCCTGTGGGTTGCTCTCCACAACCTTGGACCGGTGTCTTAACCACCCTGGGCCTCAGTTTGCTCACCTGTAAAGTGGGGCTAAGGAGAAGCTACTGCACAGAATTGTGGGAGAAATCAGTGAGTTGATCTATGTGTGTCTCTTAGACCAGTGCCTAGGCACATAGGTCGACCTTACTTAATGACGGTCTTTTCTTTTTCTCCCCCCTCACCCCCAGAACATTTCTCCAGAGGAATTAAAAACAGAGTTGCCAGAGAGACAGCCCAGGTATCCTGGGGGTAGTGAGGGGAGGGTCAGGCCGGGGAGGGGTGAGGGTGTTGATGAAGGAACAGACTGAGAGACCCCTTGGATTCCAGTATTAATCACGGGTTCTGGTCTGGGTTCGAGGCCACGAATTCACACCCTAGGACTTTTTGTTTGTATACTAATATTTTATTGCAGAATTTTACACTGGTAGTAATGTGATATTAGAGCTTGCTCTTTTTTTTTTTTTTTTTTCCTGTACAAACATTGTTAGGTTTCAGTCTCATGATTGCACTTCATTAAACAAAAAATGAAATTTTCCTTTTTCAATGCCTGAGAATACTTTGGGAAGTGGGGGAGTTGTTTGACCTTTAATGATTGGGGAGAATCCTGTGTGAAGCCTCCTAAGCTAGTACAAAGGAGGTCTTCGACACTCCTTTGAAGCCTAGTCATGTTTAGATTTTACATCTCCACTGGGGTGAATTTGGGGTGCACCAGGATTTTGACCCTCCATCTCAGGCTCTCCATCCCAGCCAGGACTGGCTCCCCAGGTGCCTGACAAGTACAGTCACGCTGGGCCCCATGCACAGAAGGGAGTCTCAAACACAGACGGGGCTTAGTGCTCTGCGGCTGCCTGCCATCTGGAAATTTTTTATAGTTTTATCTTTGAGTTCGTGTTTTGTGTAAAGTCTGGTGGGACAAGTGGAGCATGTGCTGGGGGCTTGGAGCCGCCTTCAGCTCACACATGGTCCCTCCATCAGCCCTGGTTGGTCAGGTTCTCCCCTGGTCACCCCCACCGCCCAGGGAGCACTGCTACCCTCTGTCCCAGGCATGGGGCCTGAGGGCAGATGGGGGAGGGTCAGAGTCAGAGTCAGGGTTGGCAGACAACCCCTGCATGACAATTTCCAGGGTCTGTCTATAAGCGAGCCAGCGGCTGTACTTCCCCTGTGAGTGTCCCCATGCCCAAGAGAGCCCAACTCGAAGTAGTAAATTTAAAGAGCCCGTGACCAGTCTGGAGAGAGACTGCGGAGCAAAGGGAACAGCTTTTCTCTTGCCTTTTGAACAGCAGGCCCCACATTTCCATTTTGCCTTGGGCTTGGCAAATGATGGGAGCTGGCCTTCGTCTCAGAGGTCTAGAGCTCTGGATGGTCCCACGTAGTGCTTGAGCCTTTACACTCTGGCACGAGTTCCCTGGGCTCAAATCTTTCCTGTATCCACAGAAACCCAGTTAAATTACTCTGGGCCTCGGTTTTCCCATCTGTAGTATGGGGATAACAAGAGCACTTATGTCAGGGGGTTATTGTGAATCAAACAAGCACTTACCACAATGAGTATTTTTCATCCTTTTGTGTTCATGGTCTGTATCCTGGGGTCTCATTTGTTAGCCCTAGGTTCTCAGACTCAGGCAAGATTTTAAGACAGTGGACTCCAGTAATAGGCATTGGGCCTGGGCTCCAGGCGGAAGTACTGAATTTGATTTCCCTTTGGCTGGTGTAGGTTTGTGGTTTACAGCTACAAGTACGTGCACGAGGACGGCCGAGTGTCCTACCCGTTGTGCTTCATCTTCTCCAGTCCTGTGGGTGAGGCACGGCTCTCCCTGTCCCCACAAGAGGGTCTTAGATTCTGTGCTTGGGGTGTGCAAGAGCGTGTCCATGGGTGCAGGTACGTGTGACTGGTGACTGTGTGAGTGTGCAGCCTGTGTGGCGCATGGGTGCTGGAGTGGGGTGGGAGCTCAGATTCCTTAAGAGCCCACCTGTCCTCCTCAGTCCCAAGGTGTGTAAGCCAGTTAACCTCTCCCTTTTACTTAGAAACTCCTGTGTGGCCTCTAAACCATCTCCTGGGACCCTCAGCATAACAAGCTCCTCCCCCAAACAGCCCCCAAACCCTGAGTATGGCTTCAAGAGACGACCTTAGAACAGCTCCCAGGACCCTTCGAAAACTTCAGGGCCTGCATGACATAACTAGGGCCTTAGTGATAAGCGGGGTCCCCCAGTTACGCTCTTTTCTCTTCTTTTGCACGCAGGCTGCAAGCCTGAACAGCAGATGATGTACGCAGGGAGTAAAAACAGACTGGTGCAGACAGCAGAGCTCACAAAGGTCTGGGCCTGGGGCTGAGGCTCCCCAGGGCTAGGGCGAGGTAGAGCCCGAGGGTCTGGGCTCCTGTTCTGAGCGGGGGAAGGGGCCAGAGGGCTCACTACTTCACTTCCTGAGTGGGTCTTAATGCGGAGAACTCTCCCTGCCCAGGTATTTGAAATCCGCACCACTGATGACCTCACCGAGGCCTGGCTCCAAGAGAAGTTGTCTTTCTTTCGTTGACCTCTGAGCTGCGGAACTGGATTCCTGATGTCGGAGTCTCTGAAGAAACTGGGGACTGGGACCCCCTAGGACCTGAACGTCTGAGACCCTAAGGAAATTAAAATGCAGGAATTCAAGAGATCTCAGTTCTGTTTCTGTTTCTCCTTGGGAGAGCTAGCGGAGGGTCCCTGCAGTACCGGCTTTGGGCCAGCAGAGGGCAGGCAGACCAAGTAGATGCCCGCTGAGTCCCAGAAGAAAAGGGGCGGGAGGGATACCTGTTTCTTGGCAAGAAAGGAAGAGGCCTGTAGGTTTTTCTGGGGAGGAGTTGGCGGGCTGAGGAAGGGTGGGGGAGGGGTTTCCAGGAAGAATTGGAAAATATCTGAAACCAGGAGGGGGCCCCCTCCTAGGGGAATATGGCCACCTGGGTTCCTGAGACTGAAGGAGGCAGAGTGCCTGTTCCCCTCCTCCCTACTTCTCACCACAGCTCTAGGAGCTAGCAGACAGCCCCCAGGCTGGAAGAATTTAAAGATTTTATTTATTTATTTGACAGACAGATCACAAGTAGGCAGAGAGACAGGCAGAGAGAGAGAGAGGAGGAAGCGGACTCCCCGCTTAGCTGAGAGCCGGATGTGGAGCTCTGATCCCAGGACCCTGGGATCATGTCCAGAGCCAAAGGCAGAGGCTTTAACCCACTGAGCCACCCAGGTGCCCCCAGGCTGGAAGAATTTAAAGGCAGAAAAGTTGCTGAAGGATCAGACATAATTGCTTCAGGGAGTTGCTGTGGTGGGTGGTTTGTGGGGTTAGGGAGGCCTGAGGGCCCAAGGCTAGGGAAGGTGAGAGGATCTAGGGCTCTCAGTGGACCCCTGAGGGGTATGAAGTTGAAGGTCAGGGAAAGGACCCCCTACCCACCCCAGATGGGAGATTCTTTTTTCTTTCATGTGGTATGTCTGGGCTTTTGAGTCTCTTGGACCCTCTGTCTTTGTCTCTGAGGGACATTTATTGAGCACCCACAGTGTACCAGGCTCTGAGAATTCTGAGATGGGCAGGTCTTCACAGAGATAAGCACTCTTTCTCTGTGCTTCTCCTCCTGGTCTCTGGTCCTTTCTCTGTCCCCAGATGTAGGGACCTGGGAGCTCCCTCCCCCCACCACCCCTTTTCAGGTTCCCTGTAGAGAGGTGTTCGTTGCCATGGTAACAATGACACAATGACCTTGGGCCTGGGCTGCCCCTCCCCCAGCCCTGTCATTCCTGGGGATGGGTCCACAAGCCCAGCTCCAACCCCTCCCCAACCCTTCCAGCCAGAACACACCCATCCCCTCACCACCCGGCTCAGCCCATCCCTTTACCCCCTTGTTGCCTGTCAGGACAAGTCCTTTGCATAAAGAAATCGCGTACAAACGCCCTCTCCTCCTCCCCCACGCCAGTATTTGGGGGGAGGGATTTGAGTTTCTTTCTGACACCTTTCTTGGTGCCCTCCCCAACCCCTCTCTGCCGGGAACAAGTCTACTTCTCGCTGTGATCACAGCCTCAGTCTCTCATGGCTAGAAATGGAAGAAGAGGGCTGGGGATAGGAGAGGTCGTTCAGTTAAGAGGTCAAGAAGGCAAAAGGACTTGTCCAAGGTCGTGCACTTACATGATCAAATTAATAATAATAGTTAACTCTTTGATTGAAGGCTTCCTATGTGCCAAGTACTTCTATAAGCCCTTTACAGCTGTTAACTCATTTAATCTTTACAAAATCTTATGAGAATGGTATCATAATTATCCCCAATTTACAGATGAATAAACTGAGGCACAGAAGCCAAAATAGTTGCCTGAAACCCCACTGCTAGGGGTTTGCACAGTTAGAACTTTGATTCAAGGGTATCTGGTGGTCAAGGGCCACTCCCTCTCTCCAGCAGGGAATTTAGGGATTCATCCCTTCCTCTTCCTTCCCCTCCCCTCTCTCTCTCCTCCTTCCCACGTGGTTGAACTTCTGTCAGCCTCCAGACTCATGATTGCAAACAATCCAATCAGGAAGAGGCATGTACGAGGAGTTGCCCAATCAGGAGCAGGGAATTTGGAACTCAAGGACCAATCAGAGAGGGTGACTTGGGACTGCCCAATACAGAGGAGGTTTGGCTAGAGGGATTGCAGAGGGACCAATCAGAGAGGCAGAGCGGAATACACAATCCAATGGAGAGTCAGCACAATGGGGCGTGGCTCTAGGTTGGGGGCCACTCCTTCAAGGGTCCTCCCAGAACAAACGAGGGACTACCTCCTCTCTTTCCACCTGCTTTCACTTAGGCTTCACAGATCTAGGCTCCCTAATTTTTGAATCCAGGCTCTAGGGTTTCCCTGGGGCGCTTCTCCCTGCTAACCTTAAAGGAGAGTAGGGCTTATGTTAGAGAGGAAGAAACGGATTTAGGGCGGAACTGAGAATGGAGGATCTAAATTAGGCAAGTGGTGCCTGGACTGAAAGATGCTTTTGGGGTGGAGTTTAAGATGCAGGGGGCAGTGTTGGGGCTAAGAGGGTAGTAGGACCTGGGCCCGAGGGCAACCTGATGTCAGAAAGGCTGAGGGGGGGGGGGCTGTTTGCTTTGGGCAGAGCCTTGGAGAGGGGGCGTGGGGGTGGGATTGGGGGTGTGAGGGTGTCTGTGTGCGTGTGTAACTAGGCTTGGGGGCGGGGCCTAATTGTGGAAGTGTGAGAATGGTTGCCGGTCTCTATTAAAATGTCTGGGATAGGAATTAAGGCTGGAGGAAACTTCCACCTGTTGCCCTCTTTTCAGGCCAACTCACAGCCTCCAATCGCTGGGGATTTCCCTCTTCCCTTCTGGTGACCCCAGGCTGGGACATTATGTTTATTGCTGAGTGTGGCTCCTGCGGTGAGTCTGGGGTGGGCCTAGCTCCTGGGCCCTCTCCTGAGAGGCTATTAAGAATACATGTTTGCTGAGCACCCACTGGGTGTCCGTCGTTCTGGACACTGGAGAGAATTGGTGCCCATGCCTCTCCTCTCAGGAGGCTTATATTTCAATGACTAGACAACAAGCAAGAAACGAACACATAAGTAAACAATAAAGAGACAAACATTATCAACAAGCATGATAAATGCTAGGTAGGGGATAAAATGAGATGATGGGATAGAAATAGTGGGAACTTTTGTTGCCTCTTTAGTCTCTAGAAGATTCCCCCTGCTCACCAGTATTAGGTGACTATGTATTAGGAAATATATATTAGGAAATATTTCCAACATGCAGCAAAGTTTAAATAATTTTACAGCGAACCCTCCTCATAGACCCACCACCTAGATTCTACCATTAACGTTTTATTGTACTTGCTTTCTCACCTCCCCATCCGTCAACCCATCCATCAACCCATCTTCTTTTTTATGGATTTCAGAGTAAGTGGCAGACATCTGGACAATTGGTGGTGGTGGTGGGGGAACTGGGGAGGGGGAAGGAAGGACTCTCTGAAGAGATCACATTTGAATTAAGACTTGAATGAAAAGGAAGGGGAAAGAGTGCAAAGACCCCAGGGGCTAGACTGAGCTGGTGTATTGGAGGAGTAGGAAGGCCATTGTGGGGGGCTAGGAAATGAGAGTGGTAAAGGATGAGGTCAACAGGTGGGTAGGGCTGGAGATACTTGGGCTCAAGCTCTTTGTTTCCCCATCTCCGTGGATCTCCCTTTTCCATCCCAGGCTGGCCATGGCCTTCTTTTCCTTTCACTTCCTGCCATTTGTTACCTGTGTGACCTGAGGCGAATTACCTAACCTCTCTGTGGTTAAATTTTCCTCATCTGTAAAATAGGGGTGTGATGGGACCTCCTCATCTGGAACCTGGGAGGAGTCAATGGAGTCATGTAGGAAGCTGTTAGAACCATCCCTGGCACACAGTAGCACTGGACGCTTGTCCACTTTTGTGGTTGTTAACTATTCTCTCTCTCCATCTTCCCAGCCCAGGACCTCCACACCCCATCAGGGAGCATCAAGAACCAGGGTGGGGGTGGTAGTGCCTGGCTGGAGGTGGTGATAACGGTGGCGATGTTGGAATCTGGAGATTGGTGGGGAGGATCGTGGGTGTCCCCAGAGTGGGGTCAAGGTTCACTGAAGGGGAGGTTTTGCAGAGGTGCCCTTGATCTGGGGGACAGGGCAGGCTACAAGTGATGATGATGTGACTAGGAAGAATTTAGGGAAGGGGTTTGACAGAGGACCTTGATACAGTGGGATCCAAAATGGGAAGGGTTTGAGCTGCCAAGGAGCTGGGGGTCTGCAATAAGACGGATTTGGAGTGGAGGCCTTTATCTCAGAAAAAGGTGGAGAGTGGCCTGAGATACTCAATGGGATTTGGGGAAGGGACTGGGGGGTCAGCTATTGGCTAGGAGTTGGGCAAGAAAGGAGTCTAACCAAGGAAGGAGCAAAGAATCCTGGGATCCATGGAAGTCACAGGGAGGGGGAAGGGTCTGCAGGGTCCCAAAAAAAGAGTAGGAACAGGAGGGAAAGAATCTGGCACAAATCAGGGATTCTGGAAACCAAGGGGGGCTTTAGAGGGAAGGATGATCTGGGGTCTGATGGGAGGTAGTGAGGAAAAGTAGGGGGAATAAGAGACATCTTGGGGTCCCCCTAGAAATTAGACATGGTCTGGAGTCCCTCCTGGGGGATCAGGGAATGGTTTGTGGTCCTAGAGGGTGGAAGGACATGGCTGGGGGGCCCCCAAGATGCAGAAGGACATGGTTTGGGTCCCCAAAGGAAGTAAGACATGATCGGGTATCTCCCTGGATGTTGAAATAAGGTTTGGGTCCTCTCTGGAAGCTGGGGCATGGTCTGGAGTCTACCTGAATGTTATAGTGTGATTTAGGGTCCCTGCGGGGGGTGCTCTGGATCCCCCCTGGGTGCTGGGATATGGCCTGGGCCCCCACTGGAGTATGGGGCAGAGTCTGAGGTCACCAAGGAGAGTAGGACATGGTTTGTGGGTTCCTGGGTGGCTGTAGAACATGGTTTGGGTCCTCAGAAGAGGTAAGGCATGGTCTGAGGTTCCCCTGGGTATTGGGACATGATCCCAGGTCTCAGCTGCGAGATCCGAGTCCCCACGCCAGTTGGGGCGTGGTCTGAGGGGGGTTCTCAGGGGAAGACGGCAGGGCTGGAGGTGGGACTGGGGAGGGGTCGGG